ATGAGTTTGGCAATGAGATGTGCTCAACAGCTGAATGGAAACCATCACAACTCTGGCAGGTTATTTGCATATCTTCCCCTGGGATATTAAACCAATGTGATGGAGATTTTATTGTGCAGTTTTGTCTTCTCAATGACAACTTGCATTTAAACAGTGTATTTAATGTACTAAAATGTCTCAAAGTGCTTCACAATAACATTATAAAACAAAATATTAAAACAAATCACATAAAGTAGGTATAAGCACAAGTTGGTCAATGAGGTAGTTTTTAAGGAGTGCCTTGAAGAAAATCAGGTCAGAGGGAGGGAATTCCAGAGAGTCATATCTACCTGCAATATTTTTAAAACAAAAAATGCAGAAACTGCAGTGCAGACTGTATTGCAGAAGCAAATAAACTTTAAAAAAAAGAGAAAATGATGGAAGTCCTATAATTAGGTAATCCTCACCTGTAGTCAGGACTGGTGAGCACAATTTTTAAAATTTTCTGACCAAACTACAGTTGAGCTCTGAGGGAATTCATTTTGAATTTACCATAACGAGTAGATTTTATTGCTTTCTGAGACACTGATCCATCCAGCCAACACAAAATACTTCATGTTTTGCATATTTAAAAAAATGTAATCCTCTTACACACTCTGGATAATAACACAAGATCATTGGTATTGAAAAATTGTACATGTGCATGCAGATCATAATGATTATGGGGAGATGATTAAATTACAAGCACCAATTGCATGAATTTGCGTATTCCCTTAAAAAGAGTATATTGAGGGATATAAGACAGTGAGAGCAATTGGAAGGAAAAAAAAAGAAATAATTCAGTTTGCTCAGCAAATCCAGGTCAAGTAGACCAAAGTGTCAGAGAAATCTGGAATTCTCTCCCCCGAATGATTGTGCCTTGTGACTGAGATAACTGACATCATAGATTTTTTATCAGTTAAGAATATTGGAGGATGAAGTTGAGGTACAGATAGCCACAGTACAATTGAATGGCCTACTGCTGTTGAGATATTGAGTCTTCAGAGAAAACTGGATGCAAACTGTACTGCATATTCTAGAAAGACGCACTTGTGTAAAACTCTCAACAGGATTAGGGAAGTCTTGTTTCAATTGTAAAGAAGTTTGGTTAGACAGTACCTGGAGTACTGCCTGCAGTTTTGGCTGCCTTACTCTTAAAAAAGACATTGCCATAGAAGAACTGCAGTGAAAGTTTGCCAGACTTATTCCTGGAATGATGGGACTGTCCTATGAAGACAGTATGAGAAAACTGGGCCTGTATTCTCTAGAGTTTTGAAGAATGAGAGGTGATCTCATTGAAACTTACAAAATATTTATAGGGATAGACAGGGTTTTGCAGGTAAGATGTTTACCCTGGTTGGAGAGTCTGGAATCAGGTGCACAATTTAGGTGATTTTTTTTTCACTTAAGGTTGTGAATCTATTGAATTCTCTATCCCAAAGGGCTGTGGAAGCTCAGTCTTTGTATTTAAAGTAGAAGTTGGTAGATTTCTGATTATCAATGGCATAAAGGACTACGGCGATAATGTGGGTAAAAGGCATTGAAGTGTTCAATCAGCTGTGATCATATTAAATAGAGGAGCAGATATGATGGGCTGAATGGCCCACTTCAGACTCTAAGTTCCTAAAAGAGATGAGAAATTCCCATGAAGAGAAGTTAAATCCGGGAGCAGTAACATATAATCAGTTTTTTACTAAATTGACAAGTTTATTCTGATATAAAGTTCTACAGTTGCTGATTGCCATATTAAAGCTTCAGGGCTGAGTGAGGGGGGAGCTTTCACAGCTGTTTGGTGATTGTGCAACTTTTGGCTGTTTAACATTTTAATGTTGAGGTTCATAACAACAAAGTTGGGTGTAGAATATTTGTACTCGTGCTGAAGGTAAATTTCAGTCCTTTCATGTTTAATCCTGAATATTTGAGAGGCTGAATGGCCCACGCTTGCTCCTTGTTCTTTATTGCTGAACTCTCTCAAACTGCCTGCTATGGATTTCAAAATACTGCAGTTGCTGGAATTCTGGAAAACAAACAGAAAAGGCTGGAAGAATCCAGTATGTCTAACAACATCCACAGAGAGAGAGAAACAGTTAACCTTACTTCAGAACCGAAGGCATAAAGAAATATTAAGAGGCTTTCAGCAAGTGAAAGGTTCAGTTGGGGTGATGGCGGTGGAGGGGAGAACAGAAAGGAAGTTTTCAGTATGTTGAAAAATTGGAATGGTTAACTGACAAGATTTCATTCGACAAAATGTGAGTGGTAAAGACTGTAAAGAACCAAAAGGTTTGCCCTGTGTGGTGTGAATAATGAACAGCTGTGGGTGAGAGCAAAACCATAATAAAACTACATCGGGTAGCACAGAGTTTAAAGTCTAAAATCATTAAACTCAGTGTTAAGTCCAGAAGTCTCTAAAGTACCTAATCAAAAGAGGTGTTCTTCCTTATGTTTGCATTGATGTTCACTGGAACAGTGCAGAAGGCCATGGAAAGAGATGTCCAAGTGAGAAGAAAGTGGAGAATTAAAATGCAAGCAACCAGAAGCTCTGGGTAGTGTCTGCAGGTTTAGCTGAGATTTCTTGTGGCTTTTAATTTTAATTCTCCACCTTGCTGTCACACGAACACCACCATCCTTGGCCAGCTGCACTCTTCCATTGAAGTTCAACCCAACTCCAGGAACACCTCAGCTGACAATTTGTTATTTTACAGCCTTCTTAACTTAACATTAAGTTCAGCATTGTCAGACAGTAAACTCTATTCCCAACATTTTATTTTGTTTTCAGGCAGGTATTTGTTACTCTACTTTTAGACCCACTCTGCCTTCTTTACCATAATCTCTCCCACACTCCACTAAGTCACCAACCTTCCCTTTTGTTCTTCCTTCCCCCTCCCTCGTTTCACTTGATTACACCATATTAATATTTCTATTTCCATCCAGTTCTGAAGGAAGATGCCTGACCTAAAACATTAACTCTGTTTTTCTCTCCACAGTGATTGCCAGGCCTGCTGAGTACTTTCCTTGCTGTAATCAGCTAACACCAGCGAAACTCATAATCTGCTTGTTCTGTCTGGCTAAATCTCACATTGATAGTGCTGTTACCACAGCTAAGTCATTGTGAGGGTCAACAATGACATGACACCAATTTAAGGTGAATGGCAAAAGAACTAAAGATGACATGATAAGTTTTTTTTTGCAGTGTATGGTTAGGATCCAGATTGCTCTGCCTGAGGATGTTGCAGAGGCGATTTAATCATTGATTTTAAAAGGGAATTTGATCATTATTTTGTGGGAGAAGGCAGGCAAATAGCACTAGCTGAGATGGGCCGAATAGCGTCTTCTGTCCTGTTACTGTTCTCCAATTCTGAATTGAACCACTTAAAGCCAAATTTCTCTCCAGATGCCCAAGGTGCAGTGTCAACCTCAATATAGCAGGTACTATCACCTGCTCTATGGCACTAGTGGCAAGTAATAAGTTTCCTACCCAAGGTTAACAGTAATTAATCACTTACAAAAGCTGCATAGCACCATAAGAGAAGTTGAAGCTGAAACAGAGCCAAGAACGATGCTCAAGTAGCAACATAAGCCCAGTTCCGTGTGCTGTGGATGTAGGACTGGGGATAAGTGACTGAGTGAATAGTAGCCTTCACTGACTGACCAATGTGCTCGACCACAATTCCCTGATACAGTTGTATTAAGACAACTGAACCCATTTGATATCCTGCAAATTTCTGTTTTTATCTATCTGTTGTACAATTTGCTACCTGACTATTGGAGGCGTAAATCCCAAGGTCTATAAATCCTACATCTAATTTCTTTTGCAACAAATCACTTCTGATTTCTTATTCATTACTATTTAGTTCCAATTTATGCATGTAATAACATGAAGCATTGTTTTTCACAGAGTCCCTAACTTTCTGTTTTTATTTATGGCAGACCACTGCAGTCAAGAAACCTCGAAAATGGCATCACCATTCAAGAACATTTAACACTGGCAAACTGCCATGGATCTTTCTAGCAACTTCTATAGTGACCGTAGTTGTTGTGGTGGGGGCACTGAAACTGTCAACAATAAAGAAATGAAATAAATTGCCAATTATTTATGTAATAACCTGTATAATTGCCAGTATCTTTATTCTTTTGATGAAGCACAATTCAAAGGCCACGTTAAGTTGAGCATAAAAGTAATGTGGTACCAAAACACAAATTCTGGTCACCAGTTGAAAAAGGAAGATTATCACTCAGTGAAAACTGTTTCAGAACTGATGCAGTGCTGCACCCCTGAAAGTGCAATCCTTGCCTATTGGTACTTCCAGCATTTAATGATTAATTTCTATTTAAGAAATTCTTTATTTGCACTGTGTAAACCTATTGTCTGATGTAACTCAGGGCAGCAAAACAGCACCAAATTGCAGGCAGCTGAGATCTGGAGTGAAAGGCAGAACTGTTACACTAGAAAACAATATCCCCAATTAAAATACAAGATTCATTCAGCTTTAGGTATTGGAAGATTTGGAAGATACTGGAAGTCTTTCTATTGTGGCATTAAAATAATATAAAATAGACAATGTTGTGAAAATTAATGGCAGTTTTAAAGCAAAGGTAGGACTTTTATAACCAAGTGTTGGGGTGAGGGTACCAGACCCAGGTTCAAAAATTGGACCTCCTCTTGATCAATTTACTCTACATGCGTCCATATTCCGCCGATAACTGCTTGGTCTCTCGACGATCACACTGCTCTTCCGTTGGCCTGGCGCTTGGTGTCGCTGCGAGTCGCAATCGTGCTCTTCTCCGGTGAGTCGGGTTTCCGTTATCACTACCTCGTGTCGTGGTGCCCCCGTGCGGCGTGGAGATTTCACTTTCAGTCACCACCACCCGCTATATCACTGAACTCTCCTGCCGTAGCGCCTCCGGGCGGTATGGAGGTTTGAACTTCCACGATCATTATCACCACCAGTGATATCGGTAACTCCTCCTGCTATGCCGCCCCCGGGCGAGAAGCCGTTTCCACCTTTTTGTCCGCCGACCATGGGGACGAGCGGAGTTCGGATGTGGTAGAGGAGCTGGCGCGCCGTTGCTGGTGGACCGGCGGTTGGCGGCGGAGACGGCGTCCTCTCGTCGCCTGGCGGAGGAGGAGGAGGAGAGGAAGAAACAAGAAAGCGGCGGGAGAGTAAAGGGGAAGCCCAGCCTGCGCCGGCCGCCGGCCCCCGGCCCGGTGAAGAATGGCCAACGAGTTAGTGATCCTCAACGTGTACGACATGGTGAGTGAGTGAAGGTGGGGGCCGACTTTCTTTTTAACCTTCAGTGTGCTCGGAATTTCACTCGGTCACTAACCTCAGCTTGGTGTTTGTGTGTGCAGTCTCTACTTAACAATAAACATTTGGTAAACTGCCTCAACGTATGTGTGGCATTACTGCTAATATAACCTCAATAAATATAGGACCCCAAAAAGTGAGGCAGATCACAAAAAAAATTAGCTGAAAACCCACTCCAACTCCTGTATTTGTTCGTACAAATGGTACACTTCTGTGTATATACAGATTTACATCCAAACACATACACGTAATAATTGTATTTTGCGACCTAAGGTCTTTAATCTGCCTTAACTGAAGTAAATCCAGTTCAGTTAGTATCTTATTTCAGGTTTTGTTTAATCTGTAATTTAAAAGTTAAACTCCTATCTCCTTGAAACAGCTTTTCCTTGCAACTTGTACATTGCTTCGTTGTTGTTTGATGACTTGTTCGAATAAAGGCATAACCTCGCCTTCCTTTAAACGAGCTGTGGTTTATGTGGTTAAAATAATTGTGGATGTCCCGACTGAAGTGGAAACTTTGAATCTAAAAACCCGGCCCAAAGCTGAATAGTATTTTCCACTAAAATTTAAATTGTTTCTTTAAATTATTAGGGACAGCGTATTCATTTGTTTCATTTATCAACCATGAGGAAATCTGGTCACACCATTTTGTGTTTGAGATCGTTTTAGTTTTTGTTGAATAAATCGAATCAGATGCTCTTAAAGTTTGAAGCTCACCCTTTGCAAATTTTATCGAACAAAGCACAAATAATCTATTTTTCTTTCTACTCCTGTGGGAGTCCGAATGTGTGTACAGTTGCATAACACTATCATATCCATTTTGTTAACGTGTAAAACGGTGGAGAAAAACCACATAAGACTGAAGCCTCCACCCCCAGTGACTCTTGAATGAGAGCGCTTCAATTATTTTACAATGCTTGAATCAATCGGATCACTTTGGTGTTATGACATGTGTCCTGCCTTGTTGCAACCCCCACCCCCAAAATTTTACCAGTTAAACATGGGGAATGACTGCCAGTGTTCAGCCTGTACTTGAAAATAACATAATCCCACTTTTGCTACGCACAGTGAGTGGACAAACTAATTTTCCACAAAGGCTAGCATCAGTTTTAACAGTCAATATTGATTGAATTATAAGCATCATTTTATCATTAATGTTTAGTGGGATTGTTCATTACCAAAGGGAAGGTGTCAGGGGTGTGACTTAGAAGAATTTAGTCACCTAATTTACCTTTTAGTAATTCTCATGTGGGCAGCTAGGTAAGAGCTGTATCGAACAAGGAATGTTATGTTCAAGTTCCCATTGTGGTCTAGTTAGAGGTAAGAGCCTCTGTAATTGAAGGTAATTGAAGGTAATTGCTAATGTTTTGAGCCACAATAGAATGGATTTGCATACTGTACCAACCTCAGGTAGCAGATTTTCTCTTCTTGCACTCGAACAGAAGAACAGCTTGCATTTATGCCGTTTTTCCACCATCACTGCATGTCTCAATTTGCTTTGCAGCTTATGGAGTACTTTTTTGAAAGAACTGTAGTCACTCTTGTAATGCATGAAATGTGGCAGCCATGCTATGTACAACAGGTTCCCACAGAAACCAATGTGACGAAGACCAGATAATCTGCTTTGTGAAAACCAAAAGAACTGCAGATACTGTAAATCGGGAACAAAAACAGAAATTGCTGGAAAAGCTCAGCAGGTCAGGCAGCATCTGTGAAGAAAAATCAGAGTTAACGTTTCGGATCCGGTGATCCTTCTGTTTTGTGATGTTGAGTGAGAGATAAATATTGGCAGGACACCCTGTTCATCACAGTAGTGCCATGAGTTCTTTCATATCCATCCCTGGAGGCAGATGGAGCCTCAATTTAACATCTCACCTGCGATGTTAAGCCTGGAGTGGACTTGAATCGGAAACCTTGTGACTCAACTGAGAGTGCTACCAACTGAACCACAACTGACACCACAAAGGAATTCAGTTGGTACACCAGTTGAGTATTTTGCATCTTAGAGCAGTGAAAGCTAAAATATCACTTGTATAGAACTATGTACTAGAAGGGGAGGCAAAGGCCTAGTGGTGTTATCGCTGGACTGTTAATCCAGAGACCCAGATAACATCCTAGGGACCTGTGTTCAAATCCTGCCACGGCAGGTGGTGGAATCTGAATTCAATAAAATACCTGGAATTAAGAATCTAATGATGACCACGAGCCCGTTGTCAATTGTTGTAAAAACCCATCTGGTTCACTAATGCCTTTAAGGAAAGAAACTGCCATCCTTACCTGGTCTGGCCTACATGTGACTCCAGATCCACAGCAATGTGGTTGACTCTGAACTGCCCTCTGGGTAATTAGGGATGGGTGATAAATGCTGCTGAGGCAGTGACACCCTCATTCCATTAATGAATAAAGAAAAAAAGTGCAAAATAAATAAGGTGGCATTCTTGCTTCTTCACAAGGTGGTTATTCTTTGCTTCAGAGCATAGCATCACTGGACACAAACAGAATTGGCAGCGTTTGTTGGTGATTGCAAGCAGACCCAGCAATGAGATTGACAGCCGAAATGGTGAGCTTGTGCTGTGATTTGAGAAAGGTAGAGATGCAGAAGATCACAGACATGGAGCTTAGTTAAAGCTAAGTCCTTAATTTTATGAGCAAATATTAGTTTTGAGTCACGGCTAACTTCAGAATCCATCTTACCTTTACTTACGCGGGCCTCTGTAAGATTAAGTAGCGTATATTCCAGTCTAGTGTACAAATGTATTGGGATAATATTGAATTCTGTAACCATGGAGTAAAAAGCAGTATTAGTGTAGTCCTATATATTAAAGTTTGTGCAGCAAAATTAAAACTAAAACTATTTTTAACAAATTTAATGGTGCGTATTTTTGCTGCACATGTTCCTGCAAATCAAATGATCATATTATACTTGAGTACCAACCATTCATTATCAAGTATTTGTTCGCCTTAAAATTTTGATTGTTTTAGCCTTGGAGTCACTTATTTAGTCTGTTAGAAAATTATTTAACGGTGGAGCTGTGTTTTGAATGCATGAAAAATCCATCTTTAATCATCATTAATATTATGCACTCAAAATTAGCTGCATAATTCCCTGTCATTCACATTAGGGTAACGTACGTTCAGGTGGTGTAGACCTCTTGTTCCACTGGGTATGACCTGTGGTTTTTTGACTGAATTCAGAACACGGCCAGTTGTATCATATTGCAGTTATTGTGCAGCGTGATTATTGTACATGTTACCTGAGTGAAACTCTACAGATTTCTACTTAAAGCACTTTGGTTAGATTCTGATCCTGCAGCATTTACATCACAGGTAATTTTTTAAAAAAATTCAGACTAGTTCTGGTAAGTTTGTGTTGTTTCTGAGCTTGATGATGGCCTGTACCCCATGTGGCCGTGGATTAGAAGGCTGCATGTTTGACCTCTTTGTGTGTGTTGAGTTAATTTACCTTACTGGCATGAGATAAGTAATTCCCAGTCTCCACCCGTATTAGTGTCATACAGCATGGAAACAGATCCTTCAGCCCGACTCATCCACGCAAACCAGCTTTCCTAAACTGACCCAGCCCTATTTGCCTGCATTTAGCCCATAGCCCTTTAAACCTTACCTGTCCAAATGTCTTTTAAATGTAATTGTAATCATCTCTACTATTATTTCTGGCAGCTCGATCCATAAATGCATCACCCTCTGTGAAAACGTTGCCCCTCAGGTCCCTTGTAAATCTTTCCCTTCTCGCCTTAAGCTATGCCCCTTAGTTTTGGACTCTCCTATCTTGGAGAAAAAGACCTTGGCTATTCACCTTATTTACACCCCTCATGATTTTGTAAACCTCCATAAGGTCACCCCTCAGCCTCCTACACTCTAGGGAGGAAAAAGTCCCAGCCTTTCCTTGTAGCTCAAACCCTTCAGTTTCGGTAACATCTTTGTAAATCTTTTTTGCGCCCTTTCCGGTTTAATAACATCCTTCCTACAGCAGGACGACCAAAATTGTACACCATACTCCAAATGTGTCTTTACCAATTTCTTGTACAGCAGCAACATATTGCCCCAATCCCTATACTCAGTAGTCTGACCGATGATGGCAAGCATGCCAAACGCTGCCTTCACCACCCTGTCCAGCTGTGACACCACTTTCAAGGAACTTTGTACCTACACCCCTAGATCTCTCTGTTTGACAACACTCCCCAGGGCTCTACCATTAACTATGTAAGTCCTGCCCTTGTTTGTCCAAGCAAAATGCAAATTAAACTCCATCTGCCATTCCTCGACCCACTGACTCAGTTGATGAAAATCACGTTGTATTCTTAGATAATCTTCTTCAACTGGCAGATGGATATCTGTGATTGTTTAAAGACAGTATAATCTTATTTTTCTGTGTTCTTGATTATGGATAGAAATGGGAAAAGGGCTGCTTTTAAAAACAGAGAATTGTGCAAGGATTATTGCACATTTTTAAAACCTGGTGAGCAACACTCGTTGCAAGTGTTGTTTGCACTGTTGTTTGTTCAAACAGTGGATGAAGTTTAGTTGCCAGTCATTCATGCAAACAAGGGAAAGTACCTGAATAGGGAAAATTGAGGAACAACAAATCCTGACATATCAAAAGGATCGTCTCTGAACGCTGTGGTCTGGAATAACTGAGCCACTACCTGGGTGCTACCAGGGTCTAAAGCACAGGCAAATTAGGGAATTTTGCATACTTTGATAAGACCTTTAACCTTTGTGATGACTCCGGGAAGAGCAGGGTTGATTTCCCAGTGAGGCATAACAGTGGAGGTTGAGAGATCTGGACGGAGTTGAGTTTTAATACCCTCCCAATTATTGAGTGATCTGTGGAGATTCCTAATGCTCAGAATGATGACCACTTGGACACTGCCAGAGTTTATGTGCTATGGTTAGGTTAACGTTTTCTTAAGGAGTGAAGAAAAATG